GCTGTAACCACATACCGCCTAGGTGCTGTAATTAAATCCTGGTGTAAGCACCATATGAACTATGAACAATGCATGTGAAGCCAGCTGTGGAGTATATTCAATCCTATAGATTTCTCATTGTTTGGTAACTATTTGCTGCAAATGCAACAAAAATCAATATAAAAAATATTACCCACACAGTATTCTACAGGTTACTTGTACTACCTAGTGTTTTCGTTTGTTTATATTTCTTCGCATGGCAATCGACAGGACGGTCAGTTTGATGAACCGAGTATCACCTTAGTAACCGTTATTCCGCGATGAAATTATTTTCTTTTCTAAATTATAACTATGTCATCCTTAACAGTGCATTTACAGAAAAATCGTTATCAGATATCGATAAAATATTTTAAAACTTGTTTACTAGGAGGAATAAATCAACACTAGAGGCCTCTAATAACAAAAATACGCAAATGATAGACGTAGTAAAAGTCTTGTGGTGTTTCACCACAAAATGGCGGTGTGTGGTGGTAGAGCAATCTCCTTCCCATAGGTCTTTGCGCTTTGCGCAATAGTACCTTTACCACAGGCAGCCTTCAATTTTGTGGTCAATCACCTCACTACGCACGGCCATTTTTCCGCGGTTGTTTCATTTGAAACCGAAATACAAAAAGTGAAATACAACGTATGTGACATCCGAACTATATATTAATTATCGCGGGATATGTTTTGCAAGGTAATGTTATTGTCGTGAAATGGCGTACGTGATACACTAAAACATGGAAAAAAAAACGTTCTGTTCACGTACATAGTTGGGAAAGAAACATTAAAGACTAATTTCACTGAAAGGGGTTTTCTAACATTTTCGTTCATCTTGTATTCTGCTGAATATGTCAATACTTTTTCTGGCTTGAATGGGTTCGATGTTCCGCGTCTAACACAAAGGTTCTAGTAAGTTTATAAAGTTAGTCATTTATTATACAATCTAATGCTTTAGTAGCATCTAGGAAAGGGTTGCACTTTTCTAAAGCAAGTCTTGCATATTTGATTCTAATTACTGAACATTGTATTCGGGGTCAGGGCGTGAAACGTCTTATTAAAGTGATAAAAGTAACTCAAGTGACTTTCGTATAACTTTGTTAACAGACAGGGTCTTGTAGTTCGAACATATTCAAATGAGTTCTATGCAAAGCTGCTTTGTGCAGTGATGATAAGTAAACGCGTATCAAACTGTGCGGAGTTCGGTGGCAGAGATACTTTCGGTGATCTAACGTTATAAACATCCAGGCATATTTGCGACACCTGGTGGTCACCAGAAGAAAGCCGCGGTATAATACGCCTACATTGTAGTATTATAAATATTCTGCAGTTTGCAAATGCACAAATCAGCGTACCCATCCATTGCAGAGAGCCAGTTTACTTTCAGAAGTGACGACGTTTCCCCTGGAATATGCAAATCATTGAGACCACATACAGGTCTTGTCGATATATATTGTCGCACTTGTTTGGAGTGTAGTCTATGGGGGTGAAAGTTTTTCCGCCTTCTTGGAATTTAATTTTATTTACTGGAATTCTACTCCCAGTGTTCCCCCCGTGGCATTAAAATTGTTTCACGCTGGAGTCGACCGCCTTCCCCGACGGCAATGTGCTGCAGTTAAAGATTAACACTTTCAAACGGTAGTCTCGAAGGGCTACATGGTACTAAACCCAAACATTTTTAATGACAAACATATGACCTGTTTTAATGTATTAGGTTCTAGAATTGTACACAGAAAAAAAATATATATAATACATATAAATTCAGAGCCAAACATTTTCTGTTCTTTGCAATATTATATTTGCAATATTATATTTAAAACGAAATCCAGAGTTATGAAACCAGAATTGTAATTGCATATTATAGCGTATAGCATGGTAGGTGTGTGTACAAATCCTTTCTAATTTGAATAGTCGATGGGTTGGCGTGGCTTGTTAGCTGGTGTAAATATACTCACAAAAAGTTCAGCACCAAAAATGAGGTTTTATTGACAAACCTTATAAAACGTAAACTGCAATTGCATGTGTTGTAGAATTCGGAAAAAAAGGGCTCAAAGCATGAGCACTGCGAACACAATATGCTAATTCTCGGGGGGGCGGACATCCGGGCATTTTCAGCGCATGGCAACCATCACGGTGAAAACAAAGGCCGAAAACTTTCAGAAAACGGTACTTTGGGATGGTTGTTGAGACTCCCCTGAACAGTGTAATAAGATTACCCCTGCCTGTGTAACGCATATAAATTTGATTCTTCAGGATTACTTCAAAGTTGAGTTCCTGTTTTTTTCTCGAATTTTCACCAGCGTTCGCTCGGCGTTTCGCGTTCCTCAGCAGCTTGTGTAGAGCCCATAGAAATACATGGTACAGTGGTGCGCGTCTTAGCAACGTGGAACGTCTTGTGACGTAGCTCCGCCATCGATGATAGCTTTTACGAGGTTATGACGTAGACATATCTCATGAATACTAATTTAAAGTTAAATTATTAATAGAAAGCATTTATTATGAAACGCCGGAATCACGTATATTCGGTCTTGATCCATTGATCTTCTGTCTATTTGAAGACTGTTCATGTTTTCGATCATACTAAACTGCAGCTGGTCACCAAATTTAACAAGAATTCAAATCCTCAAATACCGGTGTTTTTACTAAGTGAGAACGCGAGCAGACAGGACAATTCAGCAGATTATCTATTATTGCGTAACAAAAAACAGTGTTAACACCTGTGTTTTTTGGACGAGTGAGAAGGTAGCTTTTGAGGTAATCCAGATAAGAAAAAAACAGTCAGGTTCTAACACATAACTCGAAAACGCCTTAACTGCCTATTCCAATTCCAATTCAGGGCACATTTTAAATATATTTAACAGATTTAGCTTTAAGTTAAGAGACACTTTTTATGGAAGACTTGTGTGGATTGGTTCTCTTCGATTTTGTATTCCAATTTGGCGTTTCACAAACAACCATTTCACGACGAAAAATGAAGTGGGACGAAATTGGTAGGTCAAAAGTGTGTGAAATCAAATGTGCGTAGCATGCTGAAGGGTGTTTTTGAACACAAAGGAATGCCGGTTACGGTCAGTGCCTTTCTTGAATAACTTTAATATATTCAAGTCGTAAACATTGAATTTTCCGACACGACCTACATAAGACCAAGCTGTTCTGAAATGCCTGATAGTGGAAGTTTAATTTGGAAAAACGGGCGTTGGGTGACCCAAAAATACCATACACTAAGGACTAGTATTGTTGACGTGTCGATATCATGCATCAGTGTCATATTGCCTTTAAAAAAATGGATACATTTTTGCCTAACCTGTTACACGTCCCGTCTGTAGCTGGTCAGCCAACGCTTTGGTGAGTTCACCTGATCCACAGCATACGTCGAGTAAACGATCCGAACTCTGCATCGGTAACGCTGCCAATACCTCCTTAATACTTAGTGCCACGTAGCGGCTCCTGTATGACGAGAAAGCTTTACTTTCCGCAGGGTCCATCCTCCACAAGCCACCAAAGCGTTGTTTTCAAGATACAACAGCGGTAACACGCCCGAAAACAATTGTCAACGGCAGTGATTTGACCTCTTGGTTTCAAAGGTCATAGAACGTTTATCGCTATAAATATGACCTCATTATATCACACACTATATTTATGCTTATGCTTTATATTTTAAATGGGGGCGCTCTTCTCATCACCGTTAACGACGAAATTGTACTTTCCGGATTTAGCCACACTTCAACAGCGTCAAATTTGTTGCCTGTTATGCATTCTCAACCAGCGATAGTTGTTAACAACAGCAAGTTTAATTTCCAGAGATAATTTGATCTTTGATAACATTCGTTTAAAATGGCCTTTCATACAAACTACTCAATCATTGTATTTTGATGAATGAAGGTACCATCAAATAAATGAAAAAAAAGAAAAAACAGAAACAGGGGTACTCGAACTTGTTTTCATAGAAACACAAAGGACTATGATAGTGTTAAACACCACTTTGGGGGCCAGTTCAGAATGAACAACTTTCAAAATGCGTAAGTCCTAAAAGCCATGGGGCATCATGGTGGAATAATATAGCGTTAGATAAAACAACACAACGTGAATTAAAATTGCAGCAATATAAATACTCAAATCTAGCATCTTGAAATGATATGTCGTGGCGTCAAATAGTATGATAAATTATGGGATTAAATGTCAAAGCATGTTCTACTCTTTGTGTTCCTGTCAAAGTTATAAATATGTCATTTGATAGCACGTCATGTCATTTGACGCCACGCCGCGTCATTCATGTCATTTGAGTATTTAAATTGCAATTCCGTCGCATACCATTTTGTTGCTATGACATGCAGTTGAACAACGTAATATGTCATTGTCATATTAGTCCTGTCATTCCCGCCCATATGGCAGTTGAAGCAACCTGATTTGTCGAACGCGCTCTCTACCTACAAACTGAGAAAACACCATATATTGGGGAGTGGGGGGGGTGGGGGGGGGGGTCGCGGAACAAGGAAAGTGCGTCAGCTGTAGGTCGGGCGAGACCTTACCTATCACTTGCACAATGTAGGTGCATCTAAAGAAGCGCACACATCCGCCTCATCTCCGGACCCAGTCCTCAGACTGTAACGCCTTTAAACGCCCTCACGCGACATTACATCCATTGGGTTTCACCGCGTGTCGTTTTGGGGTGTAACGTAAACTTGCAGGCGTGATACTATGCTTCTTGGTGCACAAATCGTTGTCACAACAATAAAATTCCCTTCTATCGACTATCAGCAAATTGACATGTTTGTATTTTCAGCTATAACAGAGCACAGGAGTATTTTTGCACCCCAGTCTCGCTACTTCCTGGAAAGAAGTCGGCTATATACTAACAAATTAGGTTTGAGAACTGCCAACAGTCTATATTAACACCTTTATTATAATATATAAGACTGAAAATTAATAATTTGGGAGTTTATTCATATCTTTTTTTTTTCATAATATGGGGAACACATTCTTAAATAATAGAATTAGTGATAGTCGTTAGCTGCGAGTGAAATGTAACTAAGAGGTAAAGAACCAACAATATTGATGGTATCAAATGCTGCTTATTTTCTGGTGGTATAATATTAAATCGTTACAGTTCAGGCACCATCCTGGTGATATTTCGATTATGTATAAAGTCACTCGAATTTGCATATTGAGCATATAACCAGAACATCTGTTAACATTCTGTGTACGTGGGTGGACTTGTATTACACACGTGCTGTATAAAACAGTTAATCGACCAACCGTACCGTCAAGCTGTACTGCAGACAACATCCTAAACGACGAAATAGTCGCTAATAGTCGCCAGTATCACAACAGCGGTGTTATAATTAGAGGTGACCATAACGGTCGTACAGAAACATAACCGATTGATTATGTCTACAAACATGACTTGATTCCAACAGAGAGGGCGTCGTTTGAATCTGAGTTCAGTAACTGTGGCCGCGAATCTGTGTATTTGCCGCACCGGGAAAAGAAGATAGTACAGGGACTTAAATAGTGGCTACTTCACGTTCGTATCCGGCCAGGTATTTGGTGTTATATTGTAAGAAAAAAAACTGAATTTGGTCGTTTAAAACAATTGTTTAGGTGGGAGGAGTCCGATCATTTTCCCATATGTTTTGATTTACTGTGGATAGGGAATAACTATATTTTCGGCGTTCGGCATAATATTTGTATCTATATAATTCGTAAACGACTTCACAGATTTGCTGGATTAGAGATAATACACATATATACATATTCATATATAGACAATAGTTGGCTTTTGGCTTTGACATTTTTTATGAACGATTAAGGACTTCGGTCAAAAAGGGTTAATGATTTTCCCTCTGTGAAAACATTAACCAGTTCATTCATGTTCGCATGTTTGATAACTAATCGAATACATTTATTGATCCACATTCACGTAAGCATACGTCATCGACATTCCTTTCAAGTTTAGTTTTCATTATTATATCATGGTCCAGTGCGCATGCGTATGTGTATGATGTGCAGCGAATCGGGTCTCAGACTGCCTATTGGCTGGCGGAATACGACGAGTTTAAAAAGCTGTACAATAATACATACGATTTCATCTCTTATAAAAAAAATCATACAGACTTTATTATATGGAGTATTTTTTATGTGTTTACATGCTCTCGGTGTTAATAATATAATAATTCATACGTCCAAGTAAATTGTAACAAATTATATGGAATTATATATAACTAAAAGTTTCATGTATTTAAAATTATAGGACTTCTCGCGAAGTTTCCAGCAACTATTTTTGTGTCAACCAACTGCAATGGTGGCTCTAAGCTGTAAATATAAACAGGGAATAATTACTAGACATTCAATATTAAGGGCGGCAGTCGTTGTGCCGCGTCCTGTTCGATATGGGACTCATAGCGACGTATACAACGCGTGTAAAATACATTGTTTATTTACATGAAATTCGAACACGCGATGCGCGACGACCACCGCGCTTTAACATTTTTACATGCTAAGGAACAAACAAATTTTATGTTTTCCTTCCAAGCAATTATTTTTTTTATTCATGGGTAACATTCTTTCGATGTTGCTAATTTGCAAAGCTCATGTATTGACTCGAATCACGATAGATTCTTTATTTGAATTTGTGGTTGGCAATAATTTATAAAAAAAAGTTAATAGTATGTTTACATGTGGCACATTATGTACATTGCGTATTGTTTCATAAAACTCTCTGTTATTCAACGGAGGAACATGTTTACGCCTTGATGGACATACACACTACTGTAAAAATAATGTAAGACTATGAAATTATTACGCAAAGTATGCACGAAGACAGTACTGTAACAGCGGGAGTATCGTTCAACTTTGCGGTATCCTCGTGATAACATTATTATTGTACGACTTTTCATCTCAAGGATACATCATGGGAATACCGAAATCCAATAAGTTTAGAACAGAATCAGCAAACTTCTTTGTATGGGTACTGTCACACCCTTGTGGCTGCCATGTTTGTTTTTATTATTAGAGACGCTTACGCGCGTAATCGTTCCATATTTGGAATTGCAAAAAAACAGTACAATACCGCAAAATTACGACACGATGTAACGTTATGGCGTTACGGAGACAGATGTATATTAATAACATGTTAAAGCGCGGTGGTCGTCGCGCAGCGCGTGTTCGAATTTCATGTAAATAAACAATGTATTTCACACGCGTTGTATACGTCGCTATGAGTCCATATCGAACAGAACAATGTACACTGTACAATGTTATATATTAGCACGATTTTATAATATTATTCGATACGTAAAAATGCAATTCTTTTTTTTTTAAATAAACCTTAAAATCATGTGATTTTAAATATACAGCATATGCGTTTTTCAGATTCCCACGAATCAGCATAAGAACACCTAATTACACGAAGAATACTTTCATGAGCCAATCAGCGACGGCCTTACAGTTATAATCATAAGGGTTGAAAAATATAATGTGATTACATGCTTAATATATCAATATTTGAAAATGCAAACTCACCAGTTTCTGCAGCAACTATAGAACTGGTGCTGGTATGTAAGGAAAACAGAATTAGAATATGAACGATTAATCATCCAGGTAGTTGTTTCAATAAAAACAAAGAAAAAACGTTTTAATATGATTTTTTTAGTAAGTAGCCATTAGACAGAGTTCCGAAATTGTAATAGTCAACGAAAGTTTTGAACTATGAAAAGACAAAATTCAGAGTGTAAAGAATGGGAAAAATACTTGATCTGGTTGCAATGGAAATTTGGAAAATTGATAACTCAAAAGTTCAGGGGCGACTTATTATAATTTACTACGGGGAATCACACAAGAACACACGATTATAATTTACCAAAGTTCTGAATACGGCTGACATAGTAACAACAAACCCACGCTAGACTACTCGGGCAGTTCAAATGTAACCAATTTACCGCATCTTGGTGTATTCACAACTTTTGAAAATGTACTAAACAATAAGAACATCGTTATAACAGTTATTGTTGATACTAATTGATTATACTAATTAAGATACGTATTTTGCATCTATGGCCGTGACGGAGAATTGTGTTTCCAATTTTACAGAATTATCAGAAATTAGAAAGCTATATATAACATTACAATATCGATGAATTATGTTAAACAAACCGGGTACTTACACAAATGATGCCTATACAGACAATCAGTAGCCCAGCTACCTTGATGATGCAAAATCTGAAATGATAACAAAAGATTATATTACTTAAATAATCAACTAATAATTTATCTATTGGCGTGAGGCGGTTAATGTTTGGCAACCGTGTGTTAACAGGCCATCCCATTATAAACCGATACGTGAACGTTTCGTTCAACATTTGCGTATTTTCCTCTAGCACATTGTTATACTCAAGAAGTTGCGCCCACACAATAGTGGGCAGTTGCGAACATTTGCATTTCATGTGAGGTGATATACTCAACTTTGACCTTGTACGTGTGGTGCAGCGGTTTTGTAAAAAAATCTAAGTGAACCCAAAACGTAAGCGTGGTACTATATTAATAACACCCTTCTGAAAAATACCACTGAAATTATGGGAGTCTATTTTTTCCAACAGTTGTACTTTCATACCCGCCATC